GGGACTATATTTCCCAAATTGCGGCTACCCTTTATAATTTGGGGGTCAGAAAAATCCGAATCTGTTGAAAAATAAGTTTTTGCGTCTGATTTCGTAAATGAAATCAACATCTGCACTAACTAATTCGCATTTTTTGCTTACTCTCTTGAGCCATTGAGATAGAGTTCTAGTATGTGAAAAAATCCGATCATTAGATCAAAAGTTATTAAGGGGAGTTTTATTATTTACTTTTCCACACTTTTCACAGAATAATTTAACAGTGCGTTCCTAATTTAGTTTCCGTTAGAATATATTTAACGAAGTTAATAGTTTTTGACTTCTTGAATGGCGGACTACAATCTTGTCAATTCTATAAGCATTTTTCACTCAATGTCGCCATTTTGTTAAAAATAAGTTTACAAAAAAAGAAGAAGAAAGAAAAACACATCGTACAATACTTTTTTAAATATCCTATGTACTTCTCTGTAGCTTTTCACATGTATAATCGAAATTTTTTTTTCATCCTAACTTAAAAATATTAATGTTTCTGGTTTCACCGATCACCCTTTCGAAAAAAAAATTTGTTCGGAAAAATCGGTATTGTTGTTGATAAATGCCAAGCTTTCACTATCACGCCATTAACTCTCGAGTTCTCTAATATTTTTGAGGCAAATCATTTAAAATAACGATTTATTCCTGTGCCTTGCTGAAAAAAATTCCTTAGCATGATTATTTTTTCCAATGCTATTAGAGTGGCCTAACTCTTTAAAAATGAGTTCAAAAGAATTTGCCTAGTTAATTATTATAACTCTAAGTCAAATTTTTCTAAATTTTTTAGTGTTAGGATGCAGGTTTTGTTTAAATTAAATATAATATTGATTTTTAATATATTATGAATATAATCAGGAACAAGTTTTTTGTTAATATGCAACCATGCTTGTTTTCTGCAGAAGAATGTTTTTTTTTTCTTGCATAAAATTCACGTGAAAAAAAATATTATATATACTAGCTATAAACACAGAACGCCCTGTGCTAATGTTACTCCAAACACCTTGCTTTTTAAATTAGAAAAATACTTGTCTTCATAGGTCATGTAACGGTTCATCTATCAAATTACTTCTTACGTAATATTATCAAAAATCATTATCTTACCAGTTCACTTTTCGTGTGCGTTATGTGTTTGTTCATTTGATCATTTATCATCGAGTTTATATCTAGTTATCAACACAAAATTTATAAATTCGGTTGTTCATAAACACAGAAATTCAAGTTTATGGCTAATTTCTTTCAGAAGGTAAAATTTTAAAAATCCCTCCAACCTTCCCATAAAAAAATTATCTTAAAATTCAAATTAATTTTCAGTAATAACCTAAGTAAACTTCGTTCTATAAATAAAGTTCAATTCCAAAAATATTATAAGATGACATTATTAGGAAAAAATTATGGTTCTATACAGGGCTTAAACACATTCTTTAAAGATCTTAAGTTTTAATTTCAAATTAAAGTCAAAGGAATGAATAAAAGGATTAAACAATTCTGTAGAAACCTTACTTATAGGAGTTTTTTTCGTTTCTAAAATTCTTTTGAATTTTACATGCATGAACTAACAGCATTTTATCGCTTGATTGAGTAAAAACTTAAACAATTGGTTCGACCTGAGGCTTTTAAACGAATTTACCTTATTTGGTAGATCACTCTTTTACTTTCTTTAAAAATTATTATTCAGCTCGAGATAAAGAAAATGTTTGTGTCAAACTATAATTTTTTTTTCCTCGTTCGTTTTATAGGATTATTATCTTTCTTAATTCATTATAAAATGGGAAGTAATTGTTTTAAAATAATTAAACAAAAAGTAAAAAATTCCAAGAAATTAAATACACACTATGTAAGTAGATAAATATAAATAATTTAAAATTCTGAATTTCAACCAATTTCATCAGCCAATTTTTTATTTTGAAAGTTAAGGTATTGACAAATTCTTTTTCTGTTATGTAACGGCAAAATATTCTTAAGTTTGTAGTCATGGCTTAGAAAGAAATTGTTAGAATTAATCGAATAGAATTTGCGCTTGTTTTTCGAATAATGTGTCAAAAAAACATCATAAAATTTCGAAAAGAGTATAAAAAGGGTTTTTTTTCTTCCTGATAATGGGTTTTATTTTGTCAAGAATTTCTGATTAAAGTTACATTTTTTAAACTAATATTTTCTATCGTTTCAACATGAGCAGTTCTCAAAAGGTTGCAACAATAATGTTAACTACAGTAAATTCTAAAAAAAATGTCAAATTTGATATTTTTTTTTTACTGTATAATGCATACACTTAAGATATACCAGCAATACAAAACATTAGGAAATGCTAAGAATTTTTAAACACTATTAATTAATTAAATCTTCAGATCTGTACGAGTATATACTAATTTTGGATATTGCTTATTTGTAGATTACGCTATTTCGGATATATTGTTGTCTATAATATTGTTGTGTATAATCTAAGTTTCAACATTTTTACCAAGTTTTGCTGATTATTATAAATATTTTGTAAAAAATTATTGCAAGATATTGAAAGGTATTTTATAATGGCCTTAATTAATAGAAAAAAAGAAAATGAAGAGCTTTAAGATAATTGTTTTTAAGTTTTAAAATCAGATTTAGAAAAAAAATTGAATTGCAGTTTTTATAAATTTTTTCGGCAGAATCAAATTTTTAAGTGAAGTGAGTAGATTAAAAAAATATTTTTGCTTCATTGCAAACTCAGGATAATTCACTTTCAAAAGCTATGACAGTAGGGTTTTGGCGATTATAGAATTTTAATTTAAAAAATGAGGCTTTCTACGATTTTCAATTCATGTGTGTCAAAAATAGAATTTTCCTCTTCTTTTAAGTCCATTTGATAGTTAGTGTTTTAAAACTTTAGTTTTGCAGCATTATTTTGTTCGTTTTTGTTTTCTGTTAGTTATGTTAATGACAGTAAGTGATCAAAATTTCGATCGGCACAAATATGGAGATAAATTATATTTGTAATATTTAGTAAATAGTTGCAACTCATGTTTTCATCAAATACAGTGCTCCAGTTGAAATTTTAGCACCTTAGCCAGTCAGAAATTAATCCGAATTCCGATTGACGATAAATTCTTTATGGCCATAATTTCTGCTTGCTCTGATCATGTAACGATTGAAGCTTGTATTTTCCTGTACAGTGATCAAATTAAATTTTTCATGCACTAGTCAGACTAAAAAACTCTGCAATGTTGACTGACGTTATATTCTTTTGGCCAAATTATCGCGTTCAAAATCAACATCAGAAAACGATTGAAACTTGCACTGAATAGAAAGCTCCTCTAGAGATTTGTGTGCTCTAGCTAGTCAGAAAAGAATCGGAATTATAATTATGAAATTTCACCATGACAGACGAAAGCGAGTTTGTAAAATATTCTTCCAAAATAAAGAGACAAAAAAATAAAAATAATAATTTACAAATATTTTTGACGTTTGCTACATGCATTATTTCAAACTTTGTAACAAATTTTGTTTTTTTTTTGGAACGTTTTTTTTCCCTACCTTTTTTTAATGCTAAATCTAATGCCACAGACGAAGGAGATTTTCTACGTTTTTCGAGTTACGCAAAAGCGTAAGAAACCTCCTTTTATGGCCCTCTTATTGTCCCTAACTACGGTGGTCTAAGAGTTGGCAAACGAAGTTAAGACAAGCATCGGGAGCATAAAATTAATTAACGCTCGTCACCTACTTTGTTTTTACGATCAGGGTTTCCTTTCATACATTACTCCCCCAGTGAAAAAAAAGCACCCCTCAGAAGACCACGATGTCTTCTTTTCGAGCCCACGTGAAAAGGTTAAAAAGATTGGGATTTTAGAAAACACGTGCGTGGAAATCCGACAATAAAATCAGAAAACGCAGTCAGAAAGTCACCTGAATTAACTATGAAATGGCATCAAGGAGCTTTAAAATTCGAAGTTCACGCATCATAATTTTGTCGTATTAGAATTGTCGGGAATTTTAAAACTTTGGAAATTAGTAGTTATAATAACCAAAAAAAAGGGATCAAAAATCTACATTGATTTAGATTTGGCGCGTTCGGAAACTTAAATGAGCAGTTCAAAATTTCTGATTTTTTTTTTTATTGCCAAAAAAGTATAGTAGTTTTTCATTATGTTTAGGTGCAACAGCGGACCGCAGATTTTACACCATTAACATGTAGTATATTATTTACGCCACTGATGATATGTTATTTGCGATACTGTAAATTTCTCATGAAAACTATTCTCAACTGATTTCACTCAAATTCTGCAATTTGCCATGTAGAATTAAATACTTTAAAATGTAAAATTAACGCATAAATTAAAATTAAAAATTTTTATAAACTATGATTCAAAACATTTTCGTCTATTAAATAAAATATTGAAAAATAATGAATATTTACTAAAATTAATTTTTTTTGCATGGATTTATCGTTGGAGAAATGAATTTCATAATTGTGTGCAAAAATTGTTCAATTCACTTAAAAAGTTCTCGAGATATGGTAAAATAACCGAAGAAAAAATTAGCATTATGTTCAAACTTTGGATTGTTTTCCTGACCAAACTATGGGACCATATTTCCCAGATCAGATTGCCTCAACCTCTTATGTTTTTGGAATCAGAATTCCGAATCCAATGAAAAAAAATTTATGCTTGTTCAGAGAAAGTGCGTTTTGTGTCTGATTTCGTAACTTAAAATATCGTTTGCTCCAATTAAGTAGCATGTTTAGGGTCATCCCCTTGAACCATCAAGATCGAGTTATTCAACGTGAAGATCCGATCGTTTAATTTAAAGTTATTCAGGATAGTTCGTTCACATGTTGCTTACCTGCAAGGTCAAAACTATGTGTCATTTAAAGTTGTTAAGTTGAGTTATTATAAGAGTTAAAAGTGTACGAAGAAACTGTGAAAAATACGTGGCTTGACGTCAGAGTTTAACTTGTTATTTATTTATGTTTCTAAGAAAGCTGTAAGCCAACACAAACAAATTAAAAAACCTTTAACTACAACTTCAATCACGTGATGCGTATCACGTGATGTTTTGATAATTTTGTTTCTCTTTTTGCAAATTCAGTAAAAGGGTGCCAGGGAGCCGGTAATTAGAAGTCACACAGCAGGTTTAATTCATTATATATATATATATTTTAAAATTGACTATTTTTCTTTTCATATTAGGCAGTATATTTTATTAATTTCACTATGCTTTTAAGAAGCTTTAAAATTTGTTTTTATGTTTTTTCCTTGTCAGAAGTCTATCGATTGTTTTCCTCTAAATTATCTGTGTTTGAGTATAACACCAAATTAATTTGATTTTGCATGTGTAAAGGGGATATTTCTCTATCGTGATCTGTCGCGCTAAATGTAATAGTTTGCCTCTTGCCACAAAGTTTAATGCTATTTGATGCAATAGAATCAAGAAACAGCTCATTACAAAGACAAGAGCTTATTTCTCCCCAAATTCCTTTTCTTTAGCGACCCAAGCCAAACCATGTCTTAAATATTGACCTATTATACTTACTACTTCACCTACTTAAAATAGTTTAAGCTTGTAACCGTAGTCACTGCCATTGTTTCAAACAAATGGCAATTGGAGGTCTTTCCATAAACAGACTAAACTATTGCTGTCTTTAATAACAAACAAAGACTTCTGTTATTTTCTCATTCATTTTTACTTACTGTGTTTGGATATGTTCTTTAAATGAATTCGGGATTCACTTAGCCAGTATAAGGATGCATTAAAAAAACTTTGACATTAACCAGGTAACATTAAAACAGACGGCCCAACTATTACAATTTATTCATAATTATAACAATTCCATAGTCAAGATTACAATCTTACGATTGACTAATAAAAATTATGGTTTCTAAGAATTTTCGTAACAGTCTGTTAAAAATGAGTTTTTTTCTTCCTATCCACCAAGAGTTCTGAAAATTTATTGTTGCTGATATTAGAACACTTGAGTATTACTTTTATTTAATAGAAGTTTTCGATTTGATAACTGTGCTAAAATGGGCGTAAAGTTTCGGCGATTACTGTTAAATGTTACATGAAAAAATTATTGAAAAATACAATTTGTGGCAATGTCCATTACCATAACGAAGAGCAACATTTGTTATTAACAAAGAGCTAGACTTTGGCATTTTGATTTCTGGAAAACAACAGTTCTTATCTCACTCTGTAAAAATTGTATAGCTGCAAACTTTCCATTATTCTACATTTATACCTAATTTTATTTTATCTGCAGAGAGATAAATATTTTTGTTATTTAAGACAAAACTTAACAGTTTTGCTTCCACTCTTATGCCTTTGTAAAACTACTCATGGATGTGTTTAGTAATTAATGTCTGCAAAGCACGAGAAAAGATCTGAAGCGTCTGATAACATAATAAAATTGGATAATAATTTCCACTTTTTATTTTATTTATAAAAGCTATGTGTGTTAAAAGGTTTTTGCTTTCAGAACAAAATAATTTATTTTATTTAAATCAAATAATTTCTAAATGGAATTGTTGTAGGGACGTAATTTTTTAATTTTTCTTGATTAAAAAGAGTTTGTAAAAGATCTGCAGTAGGTAGTAGGACAGTTTCACTAAGACATGTTATGAATTACCTAGACGGTCCTGTAGTAAGCCCTGGAGAATTTCCGGAGTTTGGTCAACTGCCTTTCACTAATAATTTTCAATAGATAGAAGAAAATTTGTCAGAAATGAGAGATTGTGACATTTCTGATCTCAGTACAGATCAAAAATATTGAATGAATGTACTGGTGAAAGCATAAATTACGGAACTACATAATAATTCAATTTTCGATCGTTCTGTGAGTCAAACGCGAATAATAATGGAAACTGTATAATTTAAATTCTATATCTGTACTGCTATTATTATAAGTTCTTTTTGCTAGCTTAGTTAAGAATCTAATTTATTTCTCTATTTAGAAATGGCAGATAAAAAGTATGAAGATGGCATGCTTGGCAAACTATTAGAACTGGATAAGAAAATTAGCTTATCTTTAAGTTTATCTGCTTCTAAAACCTCTCCACTGGGAAACTATAGACCTCATATGAAGGCCTTAGAATATTCATGTCATGGCGTATTTTGGATTTCTGGTAGTATAATTTTATTATGGCTTACTGAAGATCCCATCAAGGATGCCTTCTTCTTCAATATTATTTTAGGTAATATTTCTTTTTTTTTTATGTACATATATAAATGAATAATCTGCTTATCATATTATTGAATAAACATTTTTCTCATTGCAATTTGCTAACTAGGAATTTTAGTATTCCATCTACATATTATTTTGTAATATTAAAAAAAAAAATTGTCTTATTCTCTATGTGAAGTATTGATATTTGTTTTGCATTTTAAAGTGTATTTTTCTTATTTTTTTAAATTAACTTCATACATTGATATGTAAATTGCTGCTATTCAAAGTTTTTTTATATGAATTATTTTTGCAGAGGATAAAATATTAGTTTTAAATATTTAACTTCAAGCTTTTAAAAATCTTAAAGAAAAGTATCTTCTTAGATGTCTATTTAGTTTATAATGTCAGATATTTAATTTAAAGAAATGTTTTAAATGATTGTTACTACTCAATGAAAATAATTTTTTTTTTCAATTATAATTTGATTCATCACATTATGTTAGTTACCTTGAACTGCAATTATGATTATGTCTTTATTCATCAACAACCATCAAGCTGAAGATTTTAATTAGGCTTTGATAAACTTGTGTACATTCAGGCAAATAATATTTCCAAAGTTTAAAAAACAATATCTAAGGTAGTTCATGGAAGGAGAAGCATTGTCTTTATAAAAATTTCAGATACAAACTTTGAAAGAGTTGGGACTACATTTACTAATAGATATTATGAAATAGAGCTTGTTTCTTGTCACTTAGATAAATTATTCACACTAGCATGTTTGTGAATTGAATCATCTAAATGTTAAAGAAAACTGGTTAGATTTGGTGTTTAGACAATTTACAAATTTTATTGCAATTAGTTGAATAGTGGAATTTCGTCTTAGTTTATTCTTTGATAAATAAACTATGTTATGATTGTTTGAAACAATGAATAGAATGCAAACTCTTGAAGATCTCTATATTTTTTTATTATCCTTGTTGATCTTTTTGAAATTAAGAGCACATTCAATAGGCACATATGATTTTCCAATCAAAAGACAAAGAATTTTAAAATGCAAATACATCAAGGACTTTTGAAATATTGTATCCTTTCTTAGGATTTACATAGCATTAACAGATAGGATAAATTTCTACTAAAACCTATTCAAGAATAATGAAAAAATAATTTAATTATCAAGAAAAAAATCCAGTAAAGCAACCAGATTGTACCATTAATTGAGTTTGTAGTCTACAATCTCAATATTCAAAATTTAGTGGCATACATTCAATTTCTTTTCTTCGGTTAGAAATCATGAATTGTTTATTGAGAAAAACTGTGCGGAAAGCAACGATATTATACCCTAACAGATAGCCAATTTCTTTTACTTGAGTTAAGAATCATAGCTAATATTTGATGACGTTAAAAATTATGTCTAGTTTAGTTTTTTTACATTACCAACACCACTGATAATCATTGTAAGTACATATTATTGTAGGTGAGAATGGGATTTGTAGAAAGGGGTAAAGGTATTGAAATTGCCAGGTAATACCTTTACTGATTTTTGTCACTGAAATAACAGTGGTGTAGGACAGGATTTTCTGTTGTTATGTCTCTTAATCATACATATCTTTATATTGGGAAGTTCCAATGATCAGGAAAAACAAAAGTCCCTATATTGATCGCCCAGTCTAATCTTTTATTGATTTTATTTTTCATAATTTATATGCTTGTTTTGATATAAAAATTGGTCTATCTTTCTTCAATCCAATGTCCAGGTGCTGGGTTCACGAAAGCTGCAATGCAGCAGTGGAAGAAGATCTAAAGTTAAAAAAAGGCTTTGTGTACAAAGACAAAATTTATTGCAGGTCCCCTCTAAGCAATTTTTCATATTTTGTAAAAATTTTGTAGACTATTTATACAGATATGAAGAAATTCACTGGAATCTTCTTTTCAAAAACTAATTAATAAACACTATATTCTTTTTGTTGAAAATTTTGGTTGGGCCCTCAAACAGTTCTGGCCCCAGGGCAGTTGTCCTTCCCCTTGAGTACTGTCTTGACTACTTGTCCACTTGTAAATTGCATACATAATTTTCTTAAATTGTCCTATAAAAATGAGTTGTCTGGTACTTTTTCACTGGAACTCTTGTATTTCTAAATTTCTTATAGAGCTTTTGTGCGATTTGTTTTTTTTTTTTTTAATAAGGAAATCAGTTATAAAAAAGTAGTGCATCTATGACTTTTCAGGAATGATATTTTGTATGCATCTAAACAATGATTATCTTGATCAAATCTGATAGTTTATAGGTTGAACATTAGGATAGAGATGCAACAGGTATTCAAATCTTAGCTACTCGGTCTTACCCTACTTTAGTAATATGAGGTGTTAATGATACAAATCTTCTAACCAATTTAGCAGTTCCCACCCATAAGGACACCTCTTTTGCTGTCATTTTTCTTATTAACAAAATAAACAGTTTTTTTCTTTATTTTGCAATGAGAAAGCAGTATATTTCAGAAGATTTTCTACATAAACTTGCAGAAATGCTTAAGAGACAGTGGGTTAATATTTATGTATAGAAGCTGTGTTACCAACTTATTCACCTGTTCTTTTAGTATGGCGTTTAGATATTTATAGTATTAAATTTATTTTGGCATATTTTATTTGAATTTTTTTTTTCCAGCTCTGCTTCTAGATGTTTTATTTGTGGCAGTATTAAAAGCATTGTTAAGAAGACGGCGACCTGAAAATAATGAAAGTGAGGATATGTTTATGACGCTATCTGTGGATAAAATGTCCTGCCCATCTGGTCACACATCTCGAGCTGTTCTTGTTACTTATTTATTAATTTGGTGTACACCACAAAAATATGTGTTGCATCTTTTTTTGCTAGTATGGTGTATTTGCACTTGCTCCTCTAGAATTCTTCTTGGGCGCCATCATGTTGGGGATGTTCTTATTGGTGCTGTTCTTGGATATGTTGAATACTGCATCATGAATTACCTTTGGGCCGGTCCTGAAAATGCTAAATGGTACCTTGATTTATTTAGGGATTCCAGTAGTATTGTTGAAGATTTGTAAAATATATACTATGGAAAGTTTCTTCTAATTAATTACTGTTGGCTCCGGTTTAATCCTATAATTGGTTTTTAAAATTTGCATTATTTTATAATATATTTTAAAATGTAATCTGTGAAACTTTAACGTAGATTGTTTATATTTGACATTATTTCATTACTGCAATTAGATAATTCGTTTAAATTCTTTAGAAAATTGTTTATTTTTATATTTTTTATTAGTGGCTTTTTGAATTAATATATGGAGTTGTTACTGATATAAAATAAATATTAATATGAGTCATATCACACTTTTAAAAACACATCCTTAAATATCGCAAGAAAGTATTTTAAAATAAAGTTATTGTGACTCTTATGTGCTGATTTAAGCATCAGCAGTTTGTGTGATAAACTCTGTGATTTTTATGAAAGTATAGACTGAAAAACTGAATACATTTATCAGGTGTGAATCACAGTATTTTGTTAAACATTAAATGTGTACATTTAGTTTTAGTGTAACACCACATATAAATAAATGAACTGATATGCAATTATTATGTTTTCATGCTTCAATACTTTTTACTGTTTGTGTTTGTAAGTGTGAATGATTTGTCTAAATTAAGTTTCTAATAGGTTTGTTTCAAATATCTGAAATTAATATAAATATCTGAAATAACATGATACATATTAAGTTTTTCTTTTAAAAATAATTCAGTAATCACGAAATGATATAATGCTCATAATTGTTGAAATTGAGAATAATGCTAGCAAAAAATTTTAACGGAATTAAAACAAAATATTAACACATCAGATAGGTATTAATTTAGTTGAATTTTTTTTTTATTGACTTTATAATTTAATGTAACATAGTGGGGTAATTCATAATTTTTTTATTATGTACATAAATGAGTTATTTAAACTACTTACAATAAATATTGAAAAAAATATCGGATTTTATTATTTTTTACCTTAATTCTCATACCAGGGTCAGTTTTATAGACTGATGTTTTAATGAGAGTCTAATTATTCTTAAATAAAGTTTATTTTCAGCATAGATAAAAAAAAATGAGTTGCCTTGTTTTTAAAAATTTTGACATAATTACTCTTTGTTCAACACAAATACTAAATGCCATTAAACATGGTATATAAGACTGTAAGGACTTCAAAGTCTATTTTTAAGCTATATTGAATACCATCATCATTTACTCACCCATTAAATTCTTAGTTTATAATAAATTGCTATTTTTATTTAGTATATGTAATTATTTTATTTTTAAATAAAAACATTGACAAGTTCTACATTTCGAAATCATTTACACCCAATATTCATTTCTTAGTATGTAAAAAAGTGAATATTTGGAAAAAAAAAGTGACTAGTGATTTATTTACATGTAAATAAAAATTTATGTGGAATCTAAAAACTTCAATAAAAATTAGTTGTGGATAAAAAATTCTTGTTTTTATTAGGCCATTAAAACTACTCTTTTTATAACTTTTCATTAACATCTTTTTTTTAATGTTTTAATATATCTCGTTATTTAAATAAATTTGTCAGTCTCATATTATTTAAAAAAAAAAAATGCAAAACATTAGTGACTGATACATTTTTTTCTTTCCCTATTTATTTATTTTTAATTAAACATTTGATAAATAAATTAAGTAACATTTATAATTAAATAATTATGTTACTACATTATTTTTAAATTAACTAGTTGAATGGGCAGCAAATTTGTCTGAATAAGTAAAATGCCAAGTAACATTTAAAAGAGAGATTTTGTGCTCTCACGTAGCTTCTCATATGGTCACATATGTAAGATCAGCATAGTCTACAGAACCATCTTAGTTTCTGTGGAATTTGAGCAGAATTTAAATAAAGGATTCCATAGAATGCATGTGAGATTATAAAATCTCTCAAATATTCAGTGTACTCTTACTTCAAGGTATATGAACATTTTTCATTGGAGGAATTTATTTTGATAGATGCTGGCTATTTATTTCTGTGACAAATGACTTTTTACAGTTTTTAACTTTATATAGTTCATATTATATATTTAACATTAGATATAATTGAAAATAAATTTTTACTGTAAATATTATTATTTTGAATATCATACAACACCTGTACCCTTAAGTCATGAAATATATCATAGTATATATTACTTAGCTTTGAATCCAAGTTTTTATTTAAAAAAAAAGACTGAACTGTAAACCACTTTATTTGGTTCATCATGTGTAAGCCATAAGTATACTAGACATAATTAACTGTTTGGTACTAATGGTTTTGTTTTGGGATTTAGCGATTATGTATAGAAGGTTATTCAGTTGGATTGTTCGTTACAATTTTTATGTGTTGTAATATAGGGTATTTAAATCATATATTTAATGAATTTTTATGTCGGAATGTTATCTAATTTTTTGTTTATTGTGCTGCTTGTAATTTAGATTTTTATTAATTTATATTTATTTAATATATGCAGTATAAAGAAATATAGATCATTATTTATTATTATGTATGAAATATTTTGATATGGTCAGGATTTATAAGATAGAGTTGGTTTTAAGATTGAATCATGAATGCAATGCTCATTTAAAAATATAAAGATTTGAAACAGTTTAGAATGACATTTAGAATAAAGCTTATTTTATTTAAATTTTGTGGTAACTAGTAGTTAATACTATTCCATAAGAATTTTACCTTAATTTTATGTCTCACTTTTTAGATTATTTTTTGTAAAAGATGCTAATAAGAAAATTACTTTTGAAAACTATAACAACAGTTGTGTTACTAAACTGTTAAAACTAAATGTTTATATATCAATAATAAAATTAATTCAAATAACTGTTAATTCTTACAAAATTTTAAATTTTTTTTCTTAAATATAATTATTTTGCCTTTCGATTGGAATTTAGTTTAATTTTTCTGTTAATAACTAAAATGTATACATTGATTGCTTTTAAAATGTCTTAGACTTTTTTTGTACCAATGTTTTAAGTGATATTAAATTACAAATTGTTAACTTTAAATGAAAAATAGAAATTGCCCATTTTAATTTTATGAGTCACTTTTTTACAGACACATTAGCAGTATTTTTTTATTTATTTTTAAATCAGAGGAGAAGCTTAGCCACGGAATCTCCATCTTTAATTGGAAAGAGAAATTTGAATAAATTAATGGCAGCAAAAATGGGTGATTAGAAATGTTTTTTTTTTATGAATGTGGAGGAAATTAGTTTTATCTATCAGCTTTTGATATGAAAATTATTCAGTCATGGATGCATGTTCAAATTGTTTTTGACAAATATATAGACGAGTTTCATGCATTATATGCTATGTAAAATTACTTATTTTTTTTACATTACTTAAATTGTCAAACTGTATTAATCAATTCATCATTTGCTGCTTTTGTTTTAATGAATCATGGCAGTTATGAAAACCTTCAATTTTTATAGTGTAATTAAAACATGCTATATTTCATAAATATTATGCCATATTTCATTATACATTTGTTATTATAGCATAAAAAAGCGATTTCTTTAAATTTAGTCTTCCTTTTTTTTTTTTTTAAATTTTTTTTAAATATATTGAGGGAGATGATTAAATCTTAATGAAGCATACTGTTCAAGAGATAAATACTACAAAAAATTAATATGTTTTACTTTATCTTGCAAAAAAATGAAGAAATGTTTATTCTATTTTAACTTTCAAAATAATGTACAATGATTTTTTTTTAGAAAAACATTTTTCCAAAAAATTATTCTTAATTTTTTTATTACTGAAATTTTTTAATCCTGGCATTACCCTTTTTGCAGAACATTATGCTTGCAATTGCTCTCTTTAAAAGATATGTTATTACTTGAAATAGCTTATAAAAATAACAATTTAAAGGTAGAAAATATTTTAAATGCCAGAACATTTTGTTGGTGTGTTGCATGGGTGCAAGTCTTCCGTCCCCAGGACGGATTTCCGTCTTTTGAAAATGTCCGCGGATGGAAGTAAGACGGAAATCGGAATTTTTTTTTTCTGTCCTTAAAAATATTTTTTAGGTTTACGTTATTGGTCTACTTTCTTATGTCCTGTTGTTATTTTATCAAAAGACAGATGAATAAATATTTTTTGTACAGTATTTAAACTTGATGTATTACGGTAAAGCTTTCTTAGATAGTTTGTATATGTCAAGGGGGTATTGTGTATGAGTATGTTGGCTATTTCAGTCAAAAAATTTTCAGTCTTGGCCTTTTTTCCAATTTGCACCCATGGTGTGTTGTATTATTAGCACCTATACTTAATAGTGGTTAAAAAAATCATTTAGTATAATTTTTTTAATAATTGTGCAGTGAACAAAAATAAAGGCAAATTATAAGCACATTATTTTTGTTAATAATATTTTTCCCAAATAGTTCTTTTAAAAATTACTTTTGTTTATTTAATTTCTTTTTAATTTTGTAATGTTTTAAACATTTCTTTTATTAAATAAAATTGCTGTCTTCATGTTGTTTATTAAATATTTTCCCCAGTTAACTTTTTTTGTAATCTAAAATTCACATTCAAACTTTACATAGCTATTACTTTTAAATAATATATTTCTTACTAAGAGTCTTGATCATATTTTATTCAAAGCAAAAATTGAAGATTCATAAATGAATGTAAAATATACCAGCTAACAATATTTCAGTATGAAGTTATTCAAAAGCTCTTTAAACTAAAAATTTTTTTTTCTTCTCAAAAATCAATCACATTATTTCCCTGAATTTATTCTAATTTTTTATTAATGATCCAGATTCTCTTTTAATGTCGAAGTAATTTTTTACTACAGTACAGAACCCGTTATCTGGAAATCAGAAAACCGGAAAACCAAAAAACCAGAACGAAATTTGATAAATTTTCTCGTCATTTTTTAAAAAAAATTTTTTTCCTCATAAGATTTTACGATTTTTCTTTATTTTTTTAAAGATGTTTACCTTACCATCATTTTGGAAATAATCATTAGTGTATTACTTCATCGTTTTTTCTTATTTTTAAGATTATTTCCAAATTTAGTTGGGTTTAACAATAAAAAAAAGGCTTTTTGTAGCGATTCAGAAAACCGGAAAAGTCAGTTATCCGGAATAGCGATGGTCCCGATCGTTCCGGATAATCGGTTCCCTACTTAGTATTTTTTGTGTTATATAAATAAGATATTGAGGCTCTGGTTAGCTAATGTATAGTAGAAGGAAGTGATAAAAATTTGTCTTTAATATAAAAAGAGACCACATAAACTATAATGACTGGTACTGTTAGGGAAAAATTCTACACTTGTATAAACTGTGATATTAATTTTTGACATGTTTATGAGCACAAATGTTTTATATTAATGAATGAGAAAGTGATAGCATTATTTTCCTGTCATTGAGTAAAGTATATTAGCTAATTTTTGTCTTTATATTGTTATTTCTAGTGTTTTGAGGAAATGAAAGCTAATTAAATTTTGTACAGATGAAATATTGTTCTTGTTATTATTTTATCTACTTAAATCATCACATGAAAGGTAATTTTTTTGAAAAAATCTATTAATTTCTTATGCATGATTTTATGTGCAAAAAAATTTAATTTTGGTTTTAAAATACTGAGAATTACTGAACAGTTTTTGCAATTTTTAAAAATCTTTTATTGTTTCTTTAAAATTAAATTATAATTATATGTTTTTACCGAAATTATTGGTATTTTCATTTAGTACATGAAATTGCACTGAATGTAAAAAAAAACATTGGTTTATAGACGTTCAAGCAATTGAAGTTTGACAGTGTTTTCTCACTCTAAATTTCTCACTCTTTGATGCATTTAAGCAGTACTTTCAATTAAAAAAAAATATTTTTTTTTTGTGTTCCCTTTCCTATTTGTCCTTTACGTGTTTAGTTAATTATATAAATTTTTTATTTTAATATTTTGAATAATATAAATATAAATTCAGTTTCTTGCAAAGAAAGTGTGGAAAAGGCATTTTTTAAAAAATCATATCGATAAGTCTGCCACTTTTATTACAGAAGACTTAAAAATTGGAAGATCTTAATTAAAAATAAATTAATAAAAATAAAATGTATATGATAAATAATTTATTCTTTATGAAAGCATTCTTTTTTAAAAGATAAAACATTTTTTAGTAAACCTTCCTCAGTTAATGTTGTAGTATTTATTTCTTATTATGAGAATATAAATACTTTACCCAAGAAAAAACTTAATGTACTTAAATACGAGGGTTGCTATTTATATTTCTGGCCAAATAATGAAAAAGCAAATATGTAGGATCGAAATTGGTTTTATTGTTTTACAAAACGTTCTCCATGATGATCAATACACTTTTGCATGCGTTTGAACCAATTTTCAAAGCACTTCCAGTCCGATTGAGGTAACTCCAGCGTTTTGAATCCATCAACCGCTTCTTTGGGGGTCGAAAATCGTTGTCCACGTAATTTATTTTTGATGTGTGGGAATAAGAAGAAGTTAGAATCCACTGATTTTTACCAGTTCTCGAACTCGCTATCATTGGTTCAATACTGGTTTCTGCTATGATTTGATCATTACTTGTATCCACTATCTTTTATCGGTACAACGGAGGAAGTGGCACACCCTCTGAAGGTCGGTGAACACAACTCCAACAGGGTGCCGTGTGATGCATATAAAGAAATAAAAATACATAGAAATAAAAAAAATTGGAAACATGAAATTTTAAAACACCAAAATTTTTTAAATGTTAGATTGTAATTTTTTTCAAAGCATTTAAAATACTTAAAATTTAATTTTTTTTATTGCCTTATTACAATTTATTCATTTGTATATATATATTTTTNCGTATTTTTCCAACATTTCCTTGCACCAATCGACACGAGCCTTTTTTTGAGCGTTTGTCAGATTATGCGGGATCCAACGCGAACAAATTTTTTTTACGCTCAAATGTTCATGCAATATTTTATTGATGCTAGTCATACTAATGTCCAAAGACGCCTCTATCTCACGGTATGTCACATGACGATATTGCTTTATCAGTTCACACACAGCATCGATCTTTTCTGGCACAACAACGGATTTTGGACGACCTGCACGGGATTCGTCCTGGATCGAACATCGATCCTTTGCTTACGGCACTTGGCCTAGAATTCTAGTTCACCTGTTATATCAGACGTAGGCAAAAGGTTAGCTGTTCCGAACTGCAACCGTAACTCCTTACGCAGAGGCAGATATGTGTATGTATTCAGGCGAGGAAGTCGAACTTTATCATCATCATCATTGAACTTGTAGACATTTCATTCATATTTCATTTCATCGTCATGATTTGTTAATGAGAACAATAAAATGTTCTATTGTTATTCAAATTGGCTGTCGTCATTAGATATTTATCATTAGGTGTATTGACGCCAACCCCGGACCTATATATATATAAAAGGTTGGTCGTACTGCTTATACATATAGAACATAGCAAGGTAATTGATACCTTTCAATGATTTATTTTTGGAAGTTCTTAGTGGGGCCTTCAATTCAAAAGGAACATTAGCAGCTTAAGGTGGATCTGAAACTATTTTATTAATAGTTATTTATTCAGAAAATGCATTATTTTTGCTTAAATAAATTTTAACTTTGCTTCATATGTTAACAGTAATTTTGCTAATAAATTTTGTTAATTCGTAATATGCATAATTTTTGAATAAATAAATTTTAACTTTGTTCGATGTATTACAGTACACTGCATATTTTTTTCACTATATTTTTTTCCAGCTAATATATATAGACTTGAAGCCCACTCAGCTTCAGAGCGATTGGAACCAGTTTGTCTGGGAGATAAAGGCGGCCTGTACGCACTGCTGACCACATTGGCACAATTTTACATCTCATTAGTCACGAAATTATTGAGCCTTAACCTCATGACCTACCATGGTAAAACACAGGTTGTTGCAGGAATGTTTTACTACTATTTAAGTTATGAGAATTTTTAACATCAATTTATAAAAAAATTTTATTTCAGGTCTGGTCTAACAAAATAAGCATTCAATTTGTTTTTATTAAAAACTAATTTTTTAATTACAAATATGAGTTTTTCTTGTTTATAATTAATAATATTAATCAGTAATCAGCAATTGCTTTATATCAATTATCTTAATTTCAAGAATCTTAAGTATATTGTTATAAATAGTAATATATTTAGGTTTAACAAGAATCCCTTACTCATGCATTCTAAAAGTCCTGGAGTACTATTGAAAGTCTTCCTAAAAGAAACCTATCTTTTGAAATTATTTGTCATAGATTCAATTTTTCAAATTTATGAAACAATTTACTTTTAGTTTCTATGATAAACGTGACAGAAATCAACAAAAGCATAAATGAAATGATAGAAGTTAAAAAATCATACTTACGAGGGTTGCTATTTATATTTCTGGCCTTGGCAACAGTAAGTGTTACTAGGCGACCGCAGACGATTTTAATCAAAAGTTTGATATTTTTAAGCATAAATTCAGCAGACGATTTACCATTATAGCTTCATTTGTGTTGTTGACAGTAAATTGAAAAGTTCTTCTCTTTCAAAAAATGGAATTGAATCGTGAACATTTTCGTGCCATTATTTTTCATAACTTTCGACGTGGATTGTCAAGACAAGATTGCTTCGATGAACTTAATTCTTTATTCAGCGATAAAGCGCCATCCTACAGCACTGCAAAAAATTGGTATAACGAATTTAATCGTCTTGCTGACTTACATAGTTATTATTTTCAGCTCTTAACTTTTTATCTTTTACAATACCTTGATAAATCAAAACATACTCTTTCCAATTTGAGGCTTTTAGTAAATATTTTCAATCGCTTGTAATAGATGGCAGCACGAAGCCAATTTTAGAATTATCAAAAGGAGTAAGGGTTATTCAATTGCATGAATTTTCAATTGCTAGACGAAGTTTGGACCCCTTAATATTAATTTTAATTTTTACGTATTTCGCCATATCTCGAGAAATTTAAAAGCGAATCGATAACTTTTTGCACACAATTATTAAATTCATTTATCCAAAGATAATTCAAAGCGAAAAAATTTTTTTGATAAATAATTATTATTTTTTATTTAATATTAGTCGAAAAAATTTTAAGGTATACAATTATTTTTACATAACTTTAAAGAATACATTTTTACATGGAAAATACAATATTTTAATGAAAATGTTCAAATGGCTCCTCGTTGAAAAAAAAAGGCTAGTTCATTCAGAGAAAGTGCGTTTTTGTGTTTGATTTCGTAACTTAAAGTATCGTCTTTGCTAATTAATTAACATATCTGAGGTCACCCTCTCGAACCATTAAGAATGAGTCCTAGAACGTTATGATCCAATAATAAGATCAAAAGTTACTCAGGGCTGCACCTTTTTTATTTTGCGCACTGTACAACGCCAAAGAATACTTGAGATAGAATTTCTGTCTGTAAGGATTTTACATGTGCTTTATTTTGAGCTAGATATTTTTATACAGTATAAATGTGATGTGACTAAATCTGACCATTTTCTTAGCTGATGATATATTCAAAAGTACTCTATGTAACAGTTAATAGCTCTATTAAAATATAAATGGTTGAACAGTATATCTAAAAACGGTGGGTGATAGAGACAAATGGATTGGATAAGATACTTTTTTTAAAATTAGTTTATCGGTGTTATGATTTAAAAGTGTGTAAGAAAGCTCGTTTTGCTATTTACTTGAAATAAAGAAATCATTAAAACAATTTCTAGAGTTTTTCAACATCTAATTCAGGTTGGCATTTCACCACAATTTTTACAATCCACCACTTATTAAGAGGTAGGACGATAGGACTAATTGTTTAAAAGTTATTACGGTTTCAGATAACTAAGAAATTATAAGGTAACTTATATCTATTTATTAAAACATTCCCGCAATAGCCAGTTGTGGGTCATGGAGTTTAAGACTCCACGATTTCGTGACCAATGGCATGATGCTGGCAATTTGTTCATTGCGCATAGGCCGTCTTTATTTCCCGGACAAGCTGGCACCCATCTATCTGAAACTTGGTGAGCTTCAAGCTGCCATTGAGGGTCGAGCAAGGACAGTGCAGTGTCTATGTTAATATATATATATATTATGCAATGTAAATATAAAAGTTATAATTACATATACACTGAAGAGCCATTACATTATGACCACCCTGCTAATAACACGTAGGACCACCTTTAGCCCTCAAAACTGCTAGCACCCGCCGTGGCATTGATTCCACAAGGTGCTGATAGGTAGTCTGAGGTATCTGGTAACGAAGACGAAACGAGACGAAACAAAGTTCGAACAATAGTATAGTGAACAATACTTCACTTGTCAAGTTATCAATATCAGATGCGTAAATAGGTACTAGTCGAATATAATACTTTCTATTCATAAAATCATAAAAGTTTGTAAATTATTTTATTTCATAGCCAGCGTTGTACAGTCGACCCGATTCTGAGTGTCCTGTCAATGTTCAACCTG